AATTTAATTTAATTTAATTTAATTTAATTTATATGCCGCCCACACTACCCAAAGGTCTCTGGGCAGCTTACAAAATTTAAAATACAATAAAAATTTAGAACAATTAAAATACAAGTAAAATATATATAAAAATTGCCATTGGGCCCACAGCTAATATTATTTCAATAAATGCTACTGGTGCCAGCTGATATCACTAACTTCTACCATGGAACTTTATGTGAACAAGATTTTGGCCTATGATTGGAGTGGCACAGATTTCTAGACCAGAAAAAAAAAGAAGGTAGGAAGGCCCTAAGATTACAATCTTATACAAACTTTCTTGGAAAGTAAGTCTTATTAAACCCAGTGGAAATTCTTGCTAGACATACATAGAACTAGAAATATGGTATTCTAATTTAGAGCTTGGAAATAACAAGTAATAAGTAACTACCAGAGGTAACAAGTATTACAAAGCTACTTCTAGATATAATGAGTCAACACTGAAGTTACTTCTGTTATACCTAAAGGATATCTTCATGTGAAAATGGCATATTTATTTGTATACACCTTTATATATGCAAGTAATATGGCGTATAAGTTACACTGGTGTAATGAGTGAGACCAAGTTACTTTCAAATGTTACTTTATAAGGGCCTTTTAAAGCATATTTAAAGATGTTTTGAGAGGAACTTTTCAAGTTTGAGGACATTATAAGTGGCAAGGGAAGCATTGTCTTAGATTGTCTTCAGCATGTTTAGAAATATTATCAAGTTGCCACATCTGAACAGGTCACTAAATTAAACCGTTGTGTATTTCCCTATATATTTCTCTCTGTTGGTAATGACACGACAATCTTTTAACAACACACAGTGCAGTGAATTGCTTGAGTGATCAGTGCAGTGATAACAGCAACCTGGCTGCCCAAAAGCACTGTGAGTGACACAATGTCTGAAAAAGGAATTCCTAGCAAGGCAGGAAATTTGAAAACATTTAGTTAGTGATAAAAGACTGTGGCTACAGACATTATTAAACTTCCATGCACTGACCTGGCCCAACAGGAATTCAGCTGTTAATTGCAGGAAATAAATGCCATCGGGATGACTTTAATTAATGTGCACAATAGTATTGTGCACATTATGCTGTGTAACAGGATTTCAGTTAGTATTTCGTAAAATATAGGAGATTCCTTGCTTTAGTGGAAGCCCTGAGCTTTGAATATAGGATTGGAAACAGACTCAATGTTTCACTTTACGTGCTAGCAATATCAACAGCTCTAGCTCTTCAACAGGGTTATTCTTTGCCCTCCTGTTTCACCATAAGAGAAACAGCTGGGGGCTGGGAAAGATCCACGGTAAATTCCAAAGACTGTTTGTAAGAATAAAAGAAAAAAATTATATTTTCTTCTATTTTATAAGCCATATAAAATTTTGTAATTTCTTCCCATCATTGCTGGTATTTTTTTAATGTCACCCTTATTAATCCAAAGCTGCTGATTCAGGTGGCTTGCAGCCAATTTGGGCAGTTCCAGGGGAAACTGACTGCTATTCTATTTCTGTCATATGTGCATCTGTTAACACATTCAGAGCAGCTTTGTCTTTGGGTCTTTCCAAAGCAATGTGTCTAGTAGCTTTAAGAGAAAAGGCGCATGCATTGCACTAAGATATACTGGCTATGCTGCTAACACTACTGTAAGCCTTTAATGGCTGCTTACTTACTCATGCATAAGATGAGTCTCTCTACGTCAATAAAGAAACATGCAAGATAACTGCATTCCCTGAATTCAGCCTGGAGGTCATGTATCTTTGTTCCTAGCAGTGAGTATAATGCAGCTCTAACTCTTAACAATATAGTAGATGCATTTTTTTGTCTTAGTGTAGGAACAAAGTGCCAAAATGGAGAGAGATTTAATGAAAACCAAAAGTATTTTGGCAAATGTAATGAGAGCAAAGATTGTAGCTTCACTGATGATAGAAATCAGAAACTTGTCTCCACATTCTGTGGGCAAGGAGCTTTGCCTCACCCCATGTCTGCAGTTTTAACAGAGCAATCCAAGTTGCTGTGTAAGGAAATAGTAAGAGCTGCACACCCATTGTACCCACACAGCAGCCCTCATTTTGTCTGCCTCTATCTGTATAGGGAGGTAAGATTGCAAAGCTGCCCACCACACTTAAAAATGCTCTGATGGAACTCAGCATCTTATATTCTATTGAGTTTCAGTGATGAGCCATTCTGAACAGGACATGTCATTTTTTTTTTTAAAAAGAGAAATGAAAAGCTTCTGTAAGACATATGAAGAGGAAGAAACACAAGTCTGTATTTCATTCATCGAATGAAGGAACAGAAAAACAGTACAGCCACTTTACGGTTTAGAATACTTTATTCTCTTCCAACAAGCTAATTTTCTGTAAGAGATATTAAGTGCTAACATAAAACAACTGCAATGAGGATTGGTAGGTTTAGAACCAATAACTTTTTATTCATTCTAAGTTCCTAGTCCCCATGCACACTAGATTTTGTTATGGGGGTGGGGGCAGAGGAAAGATTTTGAAAACATAGAGACCTGCCATTTCCTGATAGATGCACATGGTGCTTGCCAAGAAGAATGGAGATTGTAGTTCAGTTATTCCTCACTAAAAGGGGAATGTTAAGTTTCTCCTCCCCCCTGCCTCCTCCATTCAAAAGAATGATGCAGAAATTGATCAAGAACCTTGCTTGAATATAATTTACTCTTTTGTTTTTACTAATTATCATAAATATAATTGCCATATCTTGCTGAAATTTAAGTTCTCTTTGAACTTTTCCCTCATGAATGGAGATGTAATTAGTTTTAAAATTACATTGTAGTCCAGTATTTCCCCCCAGTACATAACGTTCTGATTAATGGTCTTTTTGAGTTTAAATACAAATCGTTTTTTTAAAGAAGCCCATCTGAAAATTGACCATTTTTGTTTTCCACTTTACATTACAAGTAGGACAAAGCCATTGTCAGCATACTGATGATGCTAATCAAGAGTCGAAATTCTGCTGTGCTGCCTGTATCTCATGACTTGCTGCATCTGTATTCTGAGAAAACTTGTCATTCTCATTTTATCCAGAGGGAAGGGAGGCTGTGGTAGTGACTGGCACAGAATCAGGGCCATCTAATCAGTATGCGTTTCAACTTATTAGATAGCATACTGACTATCCAGTTTCAAGCATCCATACAACTTCATAAACCAAAAGAACACAAGGTGCATCAGGGATGCCTTAACTAATTATGCATTTCATGGAGTCTGCTTGGGTGATTACTGCTCAATGTATTCATAAGAAATTGGCCAGAATCTTGTTGGGTACACCTGCTCTTGTTAACTTCATACTTTCTTCAGTTTAAGCCTGAGTTTTGTTATAGAAAGCTGATGATCAGAGCCACAATCAGCTCCAGGTCTTGTTTTTGCAGACTGTATAGAGCTTCTCCATCTTTGGCTGCAGAGAATATAATCAACCTGATTTCGGTATTGCCCATCTGGTAATGTCCATATGTAGAGTCGCCTCTTGTGTTGTTGGAAAACAGTGTTTGTGATGACCAGCTTGTTCTCTTGACAAAACTCTATTAGCCTTTGCCCTGCTTCATTTTGAACTCCAAGGCCAAATTTACCTGTTGTTCCTTTTATCTCTTGACTCCCTAGTTTATCATTCCGATCTCCTATAATGAGAAGAATATCTTTCTTTGGTGTCAGTTCTAGAAGGTGTTGAAAGTCTTCATAGAATTGGTCAATTTCAGCCTCTTCAGCATTGGTGGCTGGTGCATAAAGTTGGATTACTGTGATGTTGAAAGGTCTGCCTTGGATTCGTATTGAAATCATTCTATCATTTTTGAGATTGTATCCCAGTACAGTACAGCTTTTCCCACTCTTTTGTTAACTATAAGGGCTACTGCATTTTTTCTACGTGATTCGTGCCCACAATAGAAGATATGATAATTGTCTGAACTGTATTCGCCCATTCCCGTCTATTGTAGTTCACTGACAGCCAGGATGTCAATGTTTATTCTTGCCATCTCCTGTTTGACTACATCCAGCTTAACAAGCCTCATAGATCTTACATTTCAGGTTCCTATGCAGTATTTTTCTTTGCATCATCAGACTTTCCTTTCACTTCCAGGGACGTCTGCAGCTGGGTGTCCTTTCAGCTTTCGACCAACCACTTCATTAGCCCTGGAGTTACTTGTCCTTGTCTGTCTGTCTGTCTGTCTGTCTGTCTGTTTGTTTATTTATTTATTTATTTATATCCAACATAACTGGTCATTGTGACCACTCTAGGCAGCTTACAAGCACATAATAGGACAATATATATAGTTATTACACTAAATAGTCATTGTCCTCCACTTGTCTTCAGTAGCATGTTGTATGCCTTCCAACCTGAGGGGCTCATCTTACAGCATCATATCTTTTAGCCTTTTGTTTCTGTTCATGGGGTTTTCTTGGCAAAGATCCCGGAATGGTTTGCCAGTTCTTGCTCCAGGTGGATCGTGTTTAGTCAGAACTCTCCACTATGACCTGTCCATCTTGGTTGTCCCTGCATGGCATAGCCCATAGCTTCTCTGAATTACTCAAGCCCCTTCACCACAATAAGGCAGCAATCCATGAAGCAAGCTTATGGGTTGATAATTTGAGAGGTTTTTTTTAAAATAATACAATAATAATGGACATATCCCAATCAATAGGGATCTCGTTTTTCAGGTCAATCCAGGAAAGAAGTGCTGCCAGCATTGGTGCTCACCAATCAACATTATTTTTAATCAGCTCTGGTGGAATCAAATCTACTCAAGGGACTTTCCCTAGTTTTAATTGGTTTATGAGCCTTTTAACTTTTGTCACTGTTGCTGATGGCCTGTTAGGAGAGTTTTCTGGGCTAATGTCCAAGAAGGAGGTGTAAGCTGACTGCTGCATTTCATGCTTGGAAGTAAGACTCCGAAGGAGTCAGAAGAAATGTGGCATGACATCCTTGGAACTTCTCCCTGAAAATTGTCTGCTATGCTTCACCAAAAATATGGAGAATTATTCGCGGGTTGGGTTAACTGTGACCAGGTTTTTCTTAATACTTCCCTCTTTTCCTCCCAACCCGTGCTTTATATAGTTGTTTCTGAAGTTTTGATGCAGGAGGAATTGTCCTGAAATTGCAAGCTCTATACTGTTTAAATCTGGCTTTGCTTCTTTGCTACTACACACTCATGGTCAAACCAGGGTTTTAAGTGTGTGTGTGTGTAGGATTATTTTATTTTGGTTAAATAAGGACCAGTTGGGCAGCAGTATTTTAACAAAGTCTCCTGCTCCCCCAGTCATAACTATGTTTAGGCTTGAAAGCAAGTTTCAGATAGCTTGGCAATAATCATGTTGCTACGGAGTTGTATTGCTTCAGCTGTGTTAAGGAAATCCAGACTCTGTTTATCTATTTTCCTGGTCCACTTGATTTGTTTATAATCTGAATCAGGCATAAGATAGGGTTTATATCAAGCTTCTCTGATACATAGATTTCTTGGTCTTTAATGTCTATATAACTTTTACTATTCCTTTTCATTCCCAACCGCACCCCACCCCATTGGTGGGGATGTATATAAATATTTAAAAGTAGTCTGACAAATACGTATCCGATGAAGTGGACTACAAACCATGAAAGCTTATGCTAAACAATTCTAGTTCATCTTTAAGATACCACAGGATTCTGTGTTATAATTAAATTTGATGAGTCATGGCAGAGACAGATGTTATAGATGGCCAAGGAATTGCAGCTGAAAGCAAAGCAAAGTGTGCTGCTTTCATACTGCCCCATCATGCTTAAAGCACTCCCTGGGCCGTTTACAATTTAATCATGGTGGCTTTGCATACAGTATATGAAAGCGTATTAGTACTGGCGAAGAGATGTGATTAAGGTACATAATATTTTCTGTTTGAGAAAGTCCTGAATATCAATCAAAACAAGGCAGGCTAATTGATAATGCTCTTGGTGAGAGACGCTCCTATTGTGACTGACAGTCACCCATAGTCAGTCCTTAAGGATTTTCCTCTTCCTCTGATGGGCTAGTTGTATCTATTTTTCATTCAGTTTCTTATCATTCCTTTTATCATCCCAATCTTCATTACTAATAAATAATGTAACTAGTAGTTATAAAGTTACTGTACTTTTTAGATGTACTGAGTAACAGACAGGCTTCTCAGGTGTAATGTGTAATACCTAGTTATTTGAAAAAGTAATATTTTAAGCATTTTAGAGGCATTTGGGCAGAATTGTCGAATTCTTCTCAGTCCTAAATGGCAAGGGAAGTATCCTATGGTTTTGCTTTTTATATTTTTATAAAGTGCCATATCAGAATGGCATTGCCCCATATTCTTCCAGCTTATGGGTGAGACACCCTTTGCATCAATAGCATGCAGTACAACAAATTGTTTGCAATGATAATCGAAAAGACAGCCAAGCTGCAAGAAGAAGATGAGTATCAGTTCATTTTAAATGAAATTTAAAATGCAGTTTTCGGGAATCTACCCAAACTCTTTTTGTTTATTCTCTGGTGTTATTCAGCATTCTGAAAATGGGTTTTGTAGTTATCATTTGGGAAACACAGAACGAAGAAACAGGAGTGGCTTGTGATACAAGACGGGGAGAGGCACTTTGCTTCAAAATGTTGGGGTGAGCACCACCCATTTATGCCTATGTAAAAAAAAATCAAATAGTTTTTTTTAAAAGAATTCAATAACTGGATCGTTCATGATAAAATGATACATAAAGGTAAGCTCTAATTGTTAAATATGCATAGCAGGTGATTGCTTTGGATAATGAAAATAACTTACATTTGCTGCTTTTTCTTCTTTTTGACATTTTGTGAATAATGGCAGCAAGATCAGCTTTACACGTGGGCTGCAGTAAACCAACCCACACATTCATCTGATTATGTTGAGGGAAGATTTCCAAGAAGAATTCCATCAGTGTGGCCACCACCAAAGCCTCCAGATGAAGAACAGAAAGTAAACCATACAGAAAAAGGTAAGACATCAAGATACTTGTACAGTACATCCATTTTCAGAAGAACTTAGTGAAAAGATGAAAAAAGACCTTTTGCTTCTACTCTGTATTCAATTTGAGATTGGTTACTGTGATACCCTAGTTTACTTTTCTCAGCTTCATATCACATTATCATTTTCCAGTAGATAACGAGTTTTTGGCCAAATCTTTGTTGGGAAAACTACTCCCATATCTTAGAAAAGAGAAGGCTGAATCTTAGTAATACTTTTTATTTTTATATTTTACAGTAGATGAACCCACATTTCCTATAGTTTTATTCCCATTAACACTTTCTGCCTTGTGTTCAGGTTTTTTGTTGAAAGTTGTCTTTCAGCTTGACATGTCTGTCTGTGTGAAATGGCAGCCACATTTTCACAAATCACATTTTCTAAATGTGCTCATCAGCTCAAAAAGATTAGAAACTCCTCTTGACTATCTCAGCCAAAATGGCCTTCTCAGACACTTTCTCATATCCCTGTTTCTTGGTGTTGGTGTTTTTCTAAAGCCAATTGGGTCCTTTTGCCAAAAGAAAGGGGGTGGGGGAAGTAAAGTAGTAAAAACAGAATTATTACAGGAGCCTCGTGGCGCGGTGGTTAAACTGTTGTACTGCAGCTAAAACTGTGCTCATGACCTGGGGTTCAAATCCCAGGTAGCCAGCTCAAGGTTGACTCAGCCTTCTATCCTTCCGAGGTCGTAAGGAGGACTTTGGCAACATTCTAGGCTAATTTCTGAGACGCATACACTACAGTATTGCCGTTCTTGATTATTTTTATTATACGATATATTGTTTATTATGTTATGCTTTATGTATCTTGGCTTGATTTAAGTTATCAGGTGTCAGTCCTAGGTCACCTTTTCTTATTTAGTTGTGGACTCGTGCATTTTGATTTTTTATTATTTTAGTTGTGTGTTTTGCCTCATTATGTAAACTGACCCAAGTAGTGGCTTTGCTTTGGCAACATCCTAGGCTAATTTCTGAGATGCATACACTATTGAGATTCTTGATTATTTTTATTATACGATATATTGTTTATTATGTTATGCTTTACATATCGTATCTTGGCTTGATTTAAGTTATCAGGTGTCAGTCCTAGGTCACCTTTTCTTATTTAGTTGTGGACTCGTGCATTTTGATTTTTTATTATTTTAGTTGTGTGTTTTGCCTCATTATGTAAACTGACCCAAGTAGTGTTCCAAGTCAGGTGGTCTATGAGTCCAGCAAATAAACAAATGAACATCCATCAACTGGAGAGACAGACACAAAATTTGAAAAAAAAATTATAGTGCAACAACAGAATAGGGCTGGCAGTACAGTACAAAAATTTCTCCCCAAATTCTGTAAAGAGTGATTGCTTTGCTTCACCAAATGTGGCCTGCCTGTCTCCACAAATGGTTGTGTCAGGCCGAAAATGAGCCTTTATAAGCTCAGTTCCATGCTGTATTTTTGCAAAACTCATAGGCTGCATGTCTTGCTGTACAGTGCAGACTCCCAGCTCCCTTTCCCTCATGCAGCATCCTCCCCTCTGTGTAGCCAAGGGTGGTGGTGGTGAAGGTGGCCTCTTTTCTTCCTCATCCTTTCAAATTATGGTGGGCTTTTGTGTGTTTTGTTTGTTAGTTCATTTTTTGCTTGTTTGTGTGTATTTATGTATCTCTGACATTAATATCTTGTTAAATTATTTGGAAAATTTAGCAAAATGTCACATGAGCAAAAAGAACTACATTAGAGGGGGGGAAGGAGATCAGCACCAAGCTTCATGTACCTTGAGATGAGTTCCTTTTCATGTTGACCCCTGGGGCTAGCCTTTGAGTTATGTTCATGTCCAGCCTTCCATGTAAAGCTTTCCTTTCCTTCAGGGAATGCTTATTAGCTCATTCAAATGTACCATCTGTGTTACATGGTGGGAATTTGTTGATTTCAGAATTGCTTCTTTCAAGGACTTGATCTTCAGGGATGGCTTAGAGAGTCTATTATGACAAGTCAGCATAGTCTCCGTTAACCATTTCTCTTGGCTAAGCACCCTCTATTTATGTAATTTTTTTTTCTCACAGTGCTATCAGTCCCAGAGCTTTCATTTAAAATAAACTTGAACATTTATTCTTCCTTTTAAAGTACTTGACAGCCATTTCTTTCCCCTTACCATGAGCAGAAAGCTAGCTCAAGTATTCGTTTTAACTTGCTACTTTAGAAAATGATTATTTCTACAAAATTATTCAGTTCTAAATTAGGGTTTTGGTTTCATTTGGGTTTTTGTTTTGTTTTTGTTTTGTTTTCTGGTAACTTCTGAGATTAATTTTTTTACCAAAATGTGTCATTGTTTAATAATGCAAACCCATTAATCCTGCATAGGGCTTTATTTACAAGTCCAATGCAGTTGTTCATTCCTTAAGTTTGTTGGTGTGCGTGCGTGCATGATTGAGACCTGATAGAAATCCTTCCTCGGGGTGTTATACAGAGGCCAACTGCCTGATTTTGTTGTTGTTGTTGAAGTAGGCATATAGATCAGGCCAACACACCCTGTGTACCCTTCAGTAGACATTCCAACCTGCTCATCCCCAAAGTTCTCACATTTTCTCCACATTTTTATATCTTTGCTTTAAAAAAATCCTGTGAATTGGGGAAAGTGAAACAGTTATGAGCTGGTGGGGCTATGCAGCACCCTAATTGTGTATCCTATCCACTCAACGCCCATTCAGTGATCATCTTCCGCACACATTCAGTAGTAACAGTGTAATATTATTTAAGTAAGGTTTAGCAATTGCAGTGTAATGGAGCAAGTATAATGTGGTGGTAGAGTGTTGGGCTCTACAACACTAGTCATGGAAATCTTGAGCTTTATTGGGCAGTTCAAATGTCATTCACCTTCTCCTGTCCCAGTGGCAGCTCACTCTACTGTATTATTTTGATTTCCTTTTTCTTCAATCCAAATTTCAGCCCATCCTTTTAACCCTACAAATAACAAAGAAGATATGAAGAATCTGTTACTATGCTGCTTTCCCACAGGGGTGCGCCATTTGCTCCACCCTATAGTCACTTTGAAATATCACAAATCCCCTGCTGTAGTCTGCCTTTGCACATTTCTCCTAAGCATTAGTGCACACGTCTACTTTGAAACATCAGTCATGCTTCTGCTAATGAAATGTACAAGGACATAACCTTTCTTTTCCAGTACTCTAATATTCAGTTAGTGGTTAATATCAAAAACATACCCAGCTTTTAAATCTCTCCTGCTCCTCTGTTTTATACCTTAAGGTGGCTGCTTTATATAGGCCACTTTTAACATTTAAAATTGTATATCATGCAGAAAAAAACCAAGTACTCACACAATGTTATACAGTATCTGCCACCACCAAAGTAATTAGACAATTCCCTTATTTTAAGATCCAGGCACCTGGCTATCCTGACTGTATAAATTAAAGTAATTATTGGGCAAAAGCTGTGGCTCTGTGTTAAGGATAAGTGAGATGAATAACGTTCTGTCATTTCAACCAGAAATTGTGAGCAAGCTTGCAGTTTTAATGACTCTTATTCAAGAAGTGTCTTAGTCGATTGATACAAAACCTGACAGTGTCAAAGAGGCTGGTTTCAGGATAACCCATGCTGACTTTGAGGTAGAAAGGATTAGAAACTGATTATGTATAAGAGTAAAAACCAAAAGCTTCACAGGCATGGTGTTTTTATCTGCCTCAGCAGTCTCTGCTGAGGCTAAAATTTATCAGCTAGTTTCACTGTTTCTATGGTGTCATGTGGGAACTGATTTATTAGTAACACAAGGGTAAAATTTAATAAATGTTTTGCCTTTGTAGATGGTAGTTTTTATTTAAGGTGCTGTTTTCCAGCCCATTTTGTTCCATGGGATCTCATAAGATATTGTGTTGATCATTTTTTGTAAGAGATCAGACGAGAGAAAGTGGACTACGAGAGTGACAGGTTACTATGGAGATGGGAGAGACTGTGAGAAAAGAGGCCAGTTTTATCTTCCTGAGACACGAATTAATAGCCTTTCATGGTTTGGTTAACTCCTGAGGTTTTGGAGTTTAACATCCATCCGCCTGAAATCCCAACATCTCAAGGGCTTCATGCCATGGAAAAATGAACATCCGAAGTATAGTATTGTCTCCTAATTTCAGTACATTTCTCTAGCTGGAGAAGAGAGGATACCGTAAGATTTCACCAACTGTGCCTCAAACTCTTCGCTGTGTACAATAGAATAGAACAGAAGTAATACAGGACAGGAGCCCCAACAGACAAATAGACCATGATACGTAGAACTTCCATGTTCAGCTGCAATCTAGCATTTAAAAGTATGTATTTGTGTGGCAAACTGTAATTGCGCATGGAGGCTCATTTTTTTCAAATATAACAGCTAAATGGTTTAGTTCATTTATGATGTTGTTGCTATGCTATGTATGTGTATATATTTCTTATGCATACTTAACATTGTGTTCTTGTTATTAACAAAATACCTTCTATTCCTGTTTTTAAGGAAAGTTCAGAAATGTGGCAGTTTGCAGATAAACATGGTCTAGGGGGCGGGGTAAAAATCCAATAAATAAAATAAATAAATAAATAAACCCCACGATGGTATAGGGAATAGGGATACAACCTGTACTGGATGGGGTTACACTCTCCTTGAAAACTCAAGTTTGCAGCTTGGATATACCCCAGGTTTCAGCACTGGCCAGGAGTGTTTTCGCAGTTAAATCTGATGCACCAGATGTGCCTGTCCCTTGAGAGGTCTCATTAGGCTACAGTGATGCTTAATTACATCCTGCTTGGATTATTGTAACACGGTCTGTAGCGAACAGCCCTGCCCTCACCTGTCCGTCACAGCTGAACAGTGGAGTAGGAGCCAACGAGGGGATGGAAGGTGGAGCCAAGGGGGGAGGGGGCTGTATAAAGGCTGGTGTATGGAGCCTGTGAGGGAGATTCTGTGAGTGAGAGACAGTGTGAAACTTAAAAGTGAACTTAGAGCGAGTTAGAGTTCTGTAAGAACGCTGAATGGTACAGAGAGTTATTAGAGATTTAAAGTCAAAGTAGAACTGATACAAATACAAGTGATTAGCAACCTCTGATTTACCAATTGAATATTAATCAGATGTTAACTTCCCTGATCAAATAAATGACTTAAGTTTTGAAAGCACACATGTCTCCTTGATTAAGTGGTATTAAAGCAGTAATACCTGGTGGCAGCGAAGAAGGAAGAAGAGCAAGAACCTCGTGAAGGCCTGGGGAATAGGGGCATCAGAGGGGATCACCACATGGTCTATGAAGATGGTTCAAAATGCAACAGCTAAACTACTCACTGGAGCCAGTTATAGGGAGCATATAGCGCTATAACAACTGCATTGACTACTGATCCATTTCTAGACCCAATTCAAAATGCTGGTCATTAACACCCTATATGGCTTGGGTCCAAGCCATATCTCTCCATATAAGTCTTCTCAGCATTTAAGATTGTCAAAAGACACCCTCTTCTTGGTTCCATTGCCAGCGCAGGGATGTTTGATGGGGACACGAGAGCGGGCCTTCCCTGTGGCAGCTCCCAGTTTATGGGATGTTCTCCCTTGGGAGGTCATGCTGTCCCACTCCCTATTATCCTTTTGCCAATAGCTGAAGACCCATCTTTTCCGGTAGGCTTTTAACAATCCTGATAGAGTCCCTGAATGCCTTTTTAAAATTAAGATAGTTTTTAATGTTTACTTCTTTTAATTATTTAATTGAATTTTGATTAGCATATAGTTTATTTTAAAAAATATTGAACTTATTATATTTTTAATTCTATTCTTTTTAATATTATGAGCCTCCCTGACTCCCTGTATAAATAAAAATGAAAATAAACAGATAACAAAAATGGTAGATTTTGAGCACCATCTCCTCCAGAATATTGTAATGTTATCACTGATGTATAACATGTGTATAAACTTCACATGTCTATTTCAGCAGACAGAGAAATCGGAGGACTTGATATTATCATTTCATTCTCAAGTGGAGAAGTAAGGCTGGAATTAACTAAAGTATAGGCTGCCACAGCATATTCATATTTTGCTAAATATTTTAGTCCTTAATTGTCCTCTTGATTATTATTGTTAAAAAGAGAATTAACTGTTCAGGAGTGACTTTTGTTGCTCATATCAATTTGAATAAGAAAACTGATCTTCACTGCAAGTGATTTTGTGATAAAATTTCTTACATGCATTCGGACAGAAGATGGAAAAGGTGAGTAATTAGGTATATGATGCATATTCTGAAACACTAAATTGTATGTGAATGAGAATCAACAATAATGTGACCTTAATAATCATGTTATGTCACTATTTTTTAATTACACTTGGAGATACCAATGGGGAAAAATTGTCTTAACAAAATATTATCTCATACTGATGTGTCTTACTTTGTCATTCCAATACTAATTTTTTGAGGTCCAGGCTTAAAGTATATACAAGGGTGCATTGGCACCTATATTTTCTCTCTTCATAATGAAATATGTTCTACATAAAGCTTGTGAAGTCATAATTTTAGCAATCGGGACTATAAATTAAATAACTAAAAAATTTAATTGCAGGCTTTAAAATAGAAGGGATTATGCCCGTGCAGGTATTGTATGCATGTGTGAGAGAAACTATATTGGCTTCCTCCTCTTTCAGCTTTCTTTCTTTCCAGCCCCAGTCATTAGACAGCTGTTGCCAGGTCACAAATGACAAGAACAGATGGATGCACATAGTAGCTGTGAGAGGACAATTACCAGACTAAAGCAATAATATAATAATATAATTGTAAACAGAGTCAGAGAACTGATGGGAGGAAAGAAAGAAGGGCACAGAAAAGAAAATTGGAGCTTGAAACATTTGTCTTTAAAAGGAACTTATTCCATCAGTCATTACTGTAGATCACCAGCAGATTATTACAGTTACAGTTACTACCTGTAAAAGAATCTTATCCCCTTGCTCTTTACTAACTGTTTACCTTTACTGGGATAGCCTGTGTAAAGTACACAAAAATGCTCACTGATTCCCTCAAGCGGTCAGTTCCCTTTATTGCATGTTGCAATAAATTCATAATAAATATGTTACAACTCCAAGATTCCATGGGCATTTTCTTGCCTTGAACCTCAGGCCCCTACACAATCCAGTTGAAAACAACATGTAATTTTAGCCTAACACATCAAAAAATTGTAGTCTAACACATCAAGAAATTGCTGCGGTAGACAGAAATATATAGGCAGGCATTTCTTGTGAATATTGATTTAGTGAACAAAATAAACTGTCATAATAAAATGCTTTTCCATACTACTCCTTCCACCTTCCAGTTTCTGCAATATATGTTCAGGAGGATTAGGAATAAAACATTACATTATTTTGTGCTGAGTGCAAGGTTGGCGAGAAGGATTACAGAAGACCCTTCTAAATGAAATGGATTGTCAGGGAACAAAAAGGGATAGAAGGCAAAGGATGCAAGACTTCAAATGGTAGAAACTTTGTGAACAATTGAAGGAAGAATGTGGATGGCTAGGTAAAACTTTCAGTGCAAGATAAAGTGGGTATTCCTGCAGTGTCGGGAGGAAAATGTAACAGTACAAAGGGTCACCCAGTGAAAGATTTATTTTTAAAGCTTTAATGATTTATTGATTTTTACTTTTTAAGAATTTTATTGAAAAGATGTGAGGGAATGTGTTTAGATGTCACCCGTGAAAGGAAGCCAAAGTCTGCCCTCTGAGGAACTGAAGGATACCTCAAATTTGTCATGACATCTGCACTGTCAGCGTATGTCAGAGAGAACCTTATGTATGTACTAATATGTAAATAGAGTTCTTCAGTGCAAGCATGAGTCACGATTGGCTTCAGATCTTCATTACAGTAAAGACAAAACTGAAACACTGTGGCATTTTAAAGACCACTACATTTTACTGTGAGCTTTCATTGATTAACTCCACTTCTTCAGACGTAAGAGTGAGACTGTAGTCAGTCCTGCATCTGAGGAGGCGGACCTGATCCACAAAAGCTCACATTAGAATATAGTGGTCTTTAAAGTGTCGTAATGTTTTTGTTTTTCTCTCTCTCTCTGATATGCTTGCACAGGCTAACATGCTACTTGACATGCTTATACTGGTGTACATGTGAGGCTAATGTAGAGAAGAATAGGGGTGCAGTCCCCCCAGCAGCTTTTAACTCTGTAATTAAACTTGTATCATTCTCTTGGCTTCTCCACTTGGAACTGAATATAGTAAATGCAGAGTAGAGCTTTCTGATGCCTATAATGAGTGATGGGAACTTAAAGTGGATTTATACATTCATGTTTTTAGAACAGTTTCAGATCACAACATTTACTGTCACTCTACTTCTTCCATGTCATTTACATACCTTGGCTCTCTAGCCCAGTACTGTATTCCTAGTTTATTTGGTATTGCATATTGTATACACAGCATTGTTTTCCAGCAGCACCTGGAAAACAATTCAGGGTTATATTAGATGGAAAATTTGCTGTTAGGAACACATTTATGCAGTACTTAATGAATGTTGTATCACTGGCTTAATAGGGATCAAGAAAATAAAAAGGAACTACATCCAGAACTCACAAGCCTACTGTCTTTGATATACCTTATCTTGCAAAGCTAATGACATGCTGACCTGGCCAGATGAGGGGTTTGTGCCACTCCACATGCATCTCCTCATCCCCCTTGTGTGGGAGATTGCCTTCCATTCCTCCCTCCCAATTTCTACAGACATTAAGCTACCAAGACTTGTATATTGGGAGTGGCTTTAGGGGGTAGTAGGCAAAGATATTAGGATAATTTTACCTGGTGAGAAAAGAATGGTGGCTGTTTTTAAATGTTACATTTCTGTCACCCACCCAAAAAAAAACAAACCCATGTTATGTTCCCCCATTTTAGACTCATTAACATCCCTGTGAATAGTTTGATCAACAACCAAAGCCAATATCACACCTGTCAGAACAGGGGAGGGTGTGTTTCTTTATTCCTTCCACCATGAAATTATGTTGGAATCTTGTAGTCCAAAAGCAACAAGACTTCTAGATATTGGGAGCAAACAAAAAGGGCACCAAATTAACACAGCTAATCTTCTGTTCTTTCTTAAACCAACCATTTATTGTTTGCACTTATCTGAAAAGCAGGTGGGGTTGCTGTTGTTCTAAACTCATAGATGTTAGTATACTACACTTGTGGTTTAATAATACTGTAATATTGTTGCTTACATATCTGTAAAACCTTTGTGTTTTAAACATGTAAGACACCTTGGATCCTTTGTTAGGAGAAAGGTGGAGTAAAACTGCTTTATATATATAAAGTTCTCTTGTTGCAAAGGAAGCACTATTCCAATGAAGCATGTAATTCTCTAAAACGGCCTACATAGGACCTGTACCCCTTCATGGATTGCTGCCTTGTCGTGGCGAAGGGGCTTGAGTAACTCAGAGAAGCTATTGGCTATGCCGTGGAGGGATACCCAAGACGGACAGGACATAGTGGAGAGTTCCGACTAAATGCAATCCACCTGGAGTAAGAAATGGCAATGCCACTTCAGTATCTTTGCCAAGAACGCCCCATGATCAGAAACAAAAGGCTAAAAGATATGACCCTGGAAGATGGGCCCCTCAGGTCGGAAGGCGTCCAACATGCTACTGAGGAAGAGCAGAGGACAAGTATAAGTAGCTCCAGAGCTAATGAAGTGGTTGGGCCAAAGCCAAAAGGACGCTCAGCTGTGGACGTGCCTGGAAGTGAAAGGAAAGTCCAATGCTACAAAGAAAAATACTGCATAGGAACCTGTAATGTAAGATCTATGAACGTTGGGAATCTGGAAGTGATTAAACAGGAGATGGCAAGAATAAACATCGACATCCTGGGCATCAGCGAACTAAAATGGACAGGAATGGGTGAATTCAGCTCAGATGATTATCATATCTACTATTGTGGGCAAGAATCCCGTAGAAGGAATGGAGTAGCCTTCATAGTCAACAAAAGAGTGGGAAAAGCTGTAATGGGATACAATCTCAAAAATGATAGAATGATGTCAATACGAATCCAAGGCAGACCTTTCAACATCACAATAATCCAAGTTTATGCACCAACCACCATTGCTGAGGAGACAGAAATTGAACAATTTTAGGAAGATTTAAAACACCTTCTAGAACTGACACAAAAGAAAGATGTTCTTCTCATTCTAGGGGACTGGAATGCTAAAGTAGGGAGCCAAGAGATAAAAGGAACAACAGGGAAGTTTGGCCTTGGAGTTCAGAACGAAGCAGGACAAAGGCTAATAGAGTTGTGTCAAGAGAATAAGCTGGTCATCACAAACACTCTTTTCCAACAACACAAGAGGCGACTCTATACATGGAAATCACCAGATGGGCAATATCGAAATCAGATTGACTATATTCTCTGCAGCCAAAGATGGAGAAGCTATATACAGTCAGCAAAAACAAGACCTGGAGCTGACTGCAGTTCTGATCATCAGCTTCTCATAGCAAAATTCAAGCTTAGACTGAAGAGATTAGGAAAAACCACTGGGCCACTCAGGTATAATCTAAACCAAATCCCTTATGAATACACAGTGGAAGTAAAGAACAGATTTAAGGAACTAGATTTGGTGGACAGAGTGCCTGAAGAACTTTGGATAGAGGCTCGTAACATTGTCCAGGAGGCAGCAACAAAAACCATCCCAAAGAAAAGGAAATGCAAGAAAGCAAAGTGGCTGTCCAACGAGGCCTTAGAAATAGCAGAGAGGAGAAGGGAAACAAAATGCAAGGGAGATAGGGAAAGTTACAGAAACTTGAATGCAGACTTCCAAAGAATAGCAAGGAGAGACAAGAGGGCCTTCTTAAATGAACAATGCAAAGAAATAGAGGAAGATAACAGAAAAGGAAAGACCAGAGATCTGTTCAGGAAAATTGGACATATTAGAGGAACATTTTGCGCAAAGATGAACATGATAAAAGACAAAAATGGGAAGGACCTAACAGAAGCAGAAGACGTCAAGAAGAGGTGGCAAGAATACACAGAGGAATTATATCAGAAAGATGTGGATATCCCGGACAACCCAGACAATGTAGTTGCTGACCTTGAGCCAGACATCCTGGAGAGCGAAGTCAAGTGGGCCTTAGAAAGCCTGGCTAACAACAAGGCCAGTGGAGGTGATGGCATTCCAATTGAACTATTTAAAATCTTGAAAGATGATGCTGTTAAGGTGCTACATTCAATATGCCAG